TGTTTTGGTCTCTGGTATCCCACTATTGAGGACACCAGTGACATGTCGCCAGCAAATGCAGTGCATGCTTACGTTGCACATGGCATTTACTTCATCCAAGAGCACTGGATGCTCTGGAGGGCGTCACATTAATATACTCATTTGGTGGGGGGGGGTGTATGCGTGTCAATGGTGGTCACATTACAAGCCCCCTTTCTGCCCCCCCTCCTAGTGGGCTGCTTTGCCTTTAATTGCCCGGGCTGAATTTTTGTCCAAATCCGGCCCTGGCTAAATGCAAACAGCCTTACATTCTCTCAGAATTCAGGTTTTTATCTCGGGCACAGTTTTTAGCTCTTTGAAAACACAAACATCCAAGCAATTTTCTTATTACTCATTAAAACATCACACACACAAAAACCAAAAGCAGTTTTGTACTTAAAGGGATACTATAAGTGCCAGTCATACAAAGCTGTATTCCTTGCACTATAGCTTTTCCCCTCCCCCCACCGTAGTAAATAAAGGGTTAAAAACCCTTTATATACTTACCTTACCTAAGCGCCGATGTCCTTCAGCGCTCGGTCATGGCTTCTCCTCCACCAGCTAATGCTTTCCCATGGGGAAAAAAAATCTGACGCTGGATGTGTCTGGTAGACAGCCACTGTGGGCAGACTTAGAGCTACAATGTAAACATTGCAGTTTCTCTGGAACTTCAATGTTTGTATAACATTGCAGTACTAAGTGCAATAGGGACAGTGCACCCAGACAACTTCATTAAGCTGAAGAGGTCTGGGTGCCTATAGTGTCCCTTTAAGTGCATGTAAGGTGTGGCAAAATAACTGCAATTAACTATTGCAAAATCACAAAACTTCAAAGCCCTGGTCCAATGTCAATAACAAGAAATTCTCTCCTTTTGCTGTTACAACCATCTCAAAAAGTCAAAATCTCCAAGGAGAGCAGAATAGTTAAAGGGGACACATTACCTCTCCTCACCATTTGAATCATCTGCTTTTTATTTGTAATTGAAAGCAACTGAGCAGCAATAGCTGAAGTCACCATAGTTGATGTCGATGCCACAATCTAATATGTGAAAACCTGTCTTCTCCCAGCTTTCTTTTTCACTACTCCAAGAATCCTCTCGGCCTCCACGCTGGCCTTGTTCGTTGTGTGGTTGTGCGCCACAGGCTTCTTGTAGAAAATTACATCCAAAGTCTTGCATCTCACCATGCAGTACAACTTGTTATATTGTGCACTTCCAGATTATTTTATAACACAAAATAGATGAGTAAATACTAAAGTGGGATGCTGTATAAACCTCCAATAGTAAATTACAAATAAATAAAAGAATTGTCCAGGACTCTCCAAAAACAATGTAATGTTTTATTTAGTGATTGCAGAACGCTCACAATAGCAACGTTATGGCTCACACAGAGGCGTTTTTCAAGCATGAAAAAGACTCCTCTGTAAGCCGAAACATTTGCTATGCACTAAATAAAACAATACATTATTTTTTAGATAATGCCGGACCATTCTTTATTTATTTGTAACTTCCACATTCTTTATCATTAAAGGACCACTATAGGCACCCAGATCACTTCAGCTTAATGAAGTGGTCTGGGTACCTGGTCCAGCTAGGGTTAACCCTTTTTAAAATAACATAGCAGTTTCAGAGAAACTGCTATGTTTATAACAGGGTTAATCCAGCCTCTAGAGCCTCTAGTGGCTGTCTCATTCTGTGCATATCTTAAGTCTGTTTTCAGTGCGCACTACCCGCTTTGTCAGTTGCCCAGTACCAATCGCAATGCATTGGGCATACTATTTTCAATGTAACAGGAGATGCATGTCATCCTGAAAATAGCCAGTAGATGGCCCCAACAGACCATGCTTTGTTTTAGCTTTGAATTCACATTGCTAATAGTACTGATATTAGCAGATGGAAACTTTGCATTAGGATTAAATGAAGGCTTAACCCCTTAAGGACACAACTTCTGAAATAAAAGGGAATCATGACGGAATATTTCCATCATGTGTCCTTAAGGGTTTAAATTAGTTTTGGAATATATTGGGTTTATTTGCAGGTTTATGTTAAAGATTAGGTTTCATTAAGGGTTTACACCAGGTTCGGCAAGGAATTCCTAAAACTATTACTAGGATTAAGATAAGGATTAAAGTTATAATTAGGGTTAGGCATTAAAAAAAGGACAGGGCTCAACAAATCCCAGGCGCCCAGGGATTTGTCAGCTCGTTCAGTGGAGACGGCTGGCTGATGGAGAGTGGAGGAGTCCAGACAGCTGACACACACACAGACACACATGCAGATATACAGATACAAACACTGACACATACAGATACACACACACACACACACACAAATACAAACGGACAACATACAGATACAGAGACACATTCTGACAGACGTACTGACACAGAGAGACACACAGACAGCCATACTGAAACACACATACACAAAGACATACTGAACCACAGACAGACATACAGAACCACATGGACACTGACAGACTCACACATAGACATACTGACAGACATACAGACATTCTGGCACACACACACAGAGACATACTGAAACACACATACACACAGACAGACATTTTGACACTCAGACAGCCATACTGACAGACATTCCCACATACAGACATACTGAACCACACAGACACTGACAGACTCTCACACACACAGACACACTGGCACACTAACAGACATGCACTGAAGACAGACATATATACATACTGACACACACACACACTCATGCAAAATTTGATAACCACCCTCCAGTTTCTTACCTTTTCCTGGAGGGTGGCTTCCCTGGGGTCCAGTGGGCTGGCTGGGTGGCTGGGAGTTAAGCTCTCGCTCTCTCTCGGCTTGGCCCCCTCCGGAACACCTCCTTCCTCCCGCGTGGCTCCTGTTTTTGTTGGAGGAAGTGATGCGCAGCTGTCACTTCCTCCCAGTGCTGCTGAAAAGCAAGGGCCTGGTCGCACTGTTAAAGCGCCACAGCGCCCGACCAGGCCCCTGCTGACACAGGCTCACCGGGTGGCCCTAAGTGCATGAGCCATCCGATGGGCCCCCATTCTTTGTGGGCAGAGGTCAAACGGGGCAGCTGCCTTGGGCCCCCTAGCAGGGACAGGGCCCGGGGTAGCTGCCCCGTTTGCCCCGCATTAAAGATGGCCCTGAGGATTGTGAAAAAGTCTTCCCCTGGAGATATCGGTGTACTCAGAAGACGTAGCTGAACACAATATGGAGGTTTGCACAGGAGTAGTAAATGTCAGGTTTGTGAAAGACACATTAGAAATACCTTGCTATATGTTGTGTATGTTAAAAACAGGAAAATTACTATTTTACTACAAGCTTTGCAGAGATTGGCAGTTAAATGGCTACATAAAAAGTGTCAAACTTGGGTAAATAGCCTGTGATATTTACTTTATATAAATATATACTTTTCTGTGGTGATTGTTTTCTGTGATGGTCATTACCTTAAAAAGCAAACTTAAGTGTCAAAATTTTTTGTTTTTTTAAAATCGCTTATTGAAATTTTACATTGTTTAAAATTTATGATTTTAACTTCTGTTGATCAAAAGAAAAGCAAAAACTCCTATTTGAAGCACCCCAGAATTGCTGTCAAATCTCTCCTTGAATCAAGAAGCTGTAACCCCACATATTAAAAACTATATCCCTGAATATTATGTTTTTTGCAAGTATTCATCCATTTGCGGTTTAAACATCTGTATAAACTGATAAAACCACTTCTTCATGCTGAGAATTCCATATCCTTACTGTAAAACACCCTTTCCTTTGCCTTAGACTAAATCTACTTTACTCCAGTCTAAATGCGTGGCCTCTGTTCCAATTTATAGTATTGTTTATGAATAGATTTCCAAACAATGGTTTGTTTTGGCCACAAATATATTTCTATAATGCTGTAATATCCCACGTGAGGTGCCGTTTTTCTAAACCAAACAGATTTAATCTTCCATTCCTTTTATTCATTTTGCAGCCCTCCTCTGCACTTTTACTAGTGCTATAATATCCTTATTTAGAACAGGTGCCCCAAATTGCACAGCATTCACCAGTGCAATTGATCTTACCAGTGATTTATAAAGAAGCAAAATGTATAGTTTAATACTGAGAATTAATATATAACAATACCTTACTGGACTTGGCAATTGCTAATTGACATTGCTGCCTAGTTTGTGGTATATACGTGTAATTTTACTCCTTTACCAAAAATAAACTGAAATCCTAGATATATTATGTACTCTGTACAGTATATCAAGACAATATTTGGAATTACTTTTCTTAAAGCAGCATTGTCACGGAGGACTTACCTGTCTCCTATTGTTTCCATAGCAACATATAACGTGATGACAGACAAGAACCATTTGGCCCATCTAGTATGCCCAATTTTCTAAATACTTTCATTAGTCTCTTATATCTGGAATAGCCTTATGCCTATCCCATGAATGCTTAAACGCCTTCACTGTGTTAATTTCTACCACTTCAGCGGGATGGCTATTCCATGCATCCACTACCCTCTCAGTAAAGTAATATCTATTTCCTTTTCTCTTACCTGTTCTTCTTTTCTTTATTTCTGATCTAGTTTTCTCTAAAGGGACCACTTTTGTCTTATGCATTTTTCCTACGCTTGACCTTCTTTGACCAAAGGAGGGGTTTAAATCAGCTACAGTTCCTGTGTCAAGGAGAAGAGGGAGTACTTTCTCTGACATAGGAAATGGAATTGACTTAAGCTCTTCCTTTGGTCAAAGAAAGTTGAGCATAGGGAAAATACAAAGTACTCCAAACTTTACCTTTTGTTTTTAAAGAAAACTAGATTAGAAATAAAGAAAAGAAGAACAGAATCTGAGAGAGGAAGAGAAAACAATAGCAGAAATGTACGTTCAGCATGACATGACTTTTTAGCTGCACCAATATGCACACATTATTATTGCCAAAACTGTGAATTTATTTATTTATTTTTTTGTATTCTTTCTTTATAACAAATGAAAATGTATGTCACTTCAAATTAAAGCCCATTTTGTCCTTTAAAATGGTATATAATATATGTTGGTGCGATAAATGAGAAATACAGAAATTGCAGTTGAACATAAACCTTGCAAAAATTGCTTGTGCTCTTAAGTGAAATAAGTGAAGCTGTACCTCTAAGAGGTTAAATACATATTTACAATATTGATCATTCATTTTTAGAGCACCACTTGCACAAATCAAAGTTTCATAAGAGATATGCTAAAATGAAAAGATCTGTTAAAATATGAAGAAGATCTACCAAAGACACCTTTCGACTTTTTTATTGCAGATAAGAATTAGTGTCTACAGTAAAATACTGTAAAGTAATCAGTAGGGAACAATGAAATATACAGGTTCACAAACAAGAGTATAATATAAAAGTTCAAATCTCTGCAGGTCTTCATTAACACTTAAGCATGAGTTACATCTTTAAAGACAATATATGTAGTTAACAAAATTGGTTTAAATAAAATTAAAGTTTCAGCTCAGTTAATGTAGGGATTGACCGATATTGATTTTTTTAGAGCTGATACCGATAATCTGTGAACTTTCAGGCCGATAGCCGGTAACTTGCCGATATTCTGTACATTTACCATTTTGAAAAAAATAAACTAATTCTAAAGGTAAATGCACAAAATATACATGCCACATGTAGTGGGTGGAGTGTGTTTAGACAGAGGAGCTGTGTGTGTTTGTGTAGTGTGTGTGTAGTGGATGCAGTGTGTGTTTGTGTAGTGTGTGTGTAGTGGATGCAGTGTGTATTTGTGTAGTGTGTGTATATAGTGAATGCAGAGTGTGTTTGTGTAGTGTGTATAGTGAATGCAGTGAGTGTTTGTGTAGTGTGTATATATAGTGAATGCAGAGTGTGTGTTTGTGTAGTATGTATAGTGAATGTAGTGAGTGTGTAGTGAGTGTTTGTGTAGTGTGTGTATATAGTGAATGCAGTGAGTGTTTGTGTAGTGTGTATATATAGTGAATGCAGAGTGTGTTTGTGCAGTGTGTATATATAGTGAATAGAGATGTCGCAAACCGTCCGCAAACTGCCTTCAACATGGATGCTGTCCAGGAAGTAGCAGGGTCTGGGAGGGAGGGTCTGCTGGAGATTGGCCGGGATGTGTCAGCTGACCGGAGTTCACCACGAACGGTTCGTGGCGAACCGTTCACGAGAAGTTCGTGGACGGGTCGCGACATCACTAATAGTGAATGCAGAGTGTGTTTGTGTAGTGTGTATATATAGTGAATGCAGAGTGTGTTTGTGTAGTGTGTACAGTGAATATTTGTGTAATGTATATATAGTTTGTGTAGTGTGTGTATGTTTGTGTAGTGTGTATAGTGAATGCAGAGTGTGTGTTTGTAGTGTGTATAGTGAATGCAGTGTGTGTAGTGTGGGTAAAGTGAATGCATTGTGTGTGTGTATAATGCATTGTGTGTTTGTGTAGTGTGTGTATATAATGCAGTGTGTGTGTGTGTTTGTGTAATGTGTGTGTGTATATAATGCAGTGTGTGTTTGTGTAGTGAAGTAATTTGTGTAAAATGGGGAGGGTGGGCATTTTTTAAATGCTTCTTACCAGGGAGGGAGGATATAGTATTCCCTGGTGGTCCGGTGGCTTGTTAAGTACTGGGGGGGGCCGCAGGAAGCTGTTTCTTACCTTTCTTGCAGCTCCTCCAGCTCCCCAGTGTAAATCTCGCGGCCCTTAGTGCAGCGCGGAGCATTGCCATGGTAACCCGTGGCAACGCGCCGCGGGACTCGCGAGATTTGCACTGGGGAGCTGGAGGAGCTGCGAGAAAGGTAAGAAACAGCTTCCTGCGGCCCCCAGAACCGCCATGTAATAAGCCTGGCAGTCCTAGAAGGTATGATCGGCAATATCGGTATCTATATTGGCTGATATTGCTGAAAATACTGAATATCGGCTGATTATATCGGTAAAACCGATAATCGGTCGATCCCTAGCTTACAGTCCTGTCTATTCACCCCTAAAAATGCAAGAGCTACCTGGGTGAATTGTAAGTAAAAGCATTAGATTTCTCTCTGATTTAAATAAATTCCCCATTCAATCAGCTGTTTTACTGTTTGCCTTTTATTCATTGTGCAGTCTGGGAATGTTTAATGGTACCAAATGAAGGAAGAAATGAATAAATAATACCCAGTTTCACCCATCAGTGGTTTTATAATAAAGCTGCTATTTATTTTATACTTTACACATTTTAAGTAAAATCTATTAGAAGAGAATATCAAAAACTCCATAATGTCTCATTTTTTAAAGGGACACTATAGTCGCCAAAACTACTTTAGCTTAATGAAGCAGTTTTGGTGTATAGATCTTGCCCCTGTGGTCTTATTGCTCAAATCTCTGCCATTTAAGAGTTAAGACACTTTGTTTATGCAGCTATAGTCACACTACCCTGCATGTGACTTACACATTCTTCCTAAACACTTCCTGTAAATAGCTTTCTAGACCCTGCAGGAGCCTCCTGTGTACGATTAAAGTTCAATTTAGAGAGCAGGAGATAAAAAAACTTTTAGGTAACATCTGTTTGAAAGTGAAAGCATTTTGGTCTCATACAGGATGTGTGAGTCACAGCCAGGTAAGGTATAGCCAGGGCTGTATAAACAGAAACAAAAGCGATTTAACTCCTAAATAGCAGTGAATTGAGCAGTGAGACGTCAGTGGCACGATCTATACATAAAAACTGCTTCACTGACCTAAGGTTGTTTTGGTGACTATAGTGTCCCTTTAATAAATTTTCAGTAAATGTATTAACCTATCAAATTATAAACTCCCTTTAAAACAGTCTTTGTTCCACTCTGTACAAACCAGCAATAAACCATTCCCTCTTTCTTTCTTCTTTTAAATTAAATTTATACAAATAAGCAAAAGAACTATATACATCATAAATCAGACCACTAACAAGACACAACAAACAAATCATTGAAGAAGAAGAAAAAAATTCCCTTTTTGTATGATTTCTGGTGTTTTATTGCCTCTTGTACATGGCAGTGTTATCTCCTCTCATGCACTACAACAAGTGGGCAATACTTTACTCTTACCAAAAGTCAGTGAGGAAGAGAAGGGCAGGGATTAGTCCAGCTACGTCCCCCACCTATTGGTCAAACAGAAGAACCACCAGGAGGCAACATTCACGCTCTAGCTCATATTTACAAGTTGCTTGCCATTAAGAACCAAATAGAAAATACATGTAGTATCACATGTATACAGAGTTAATTACTTATTAGTCAAATCGTAGAAAAATAACCATGTAACCTTTTGGCACTTGTCATTATGCCTATGGCATCTTTTAAAGGAACAGTCAATTGTGTATGATGGTTTTTTACAGTTTAAGGCCGCTCACATTACTTAATTATGGATATACATTTCCATAGGAATATATCCCATTACTGTATCACTAGCAGTGTGATTAATAACGGAAAAAATGACAAATTGCAGGTTTCTATCTATATATTAGGGCCTACCAAACACGCACATCAAAAAGAAAGATGTCTCCACCTATTGAAACCAAGTTGATCTTATTTAGGTCTTTGAATCTATGTTTGTACTCCAGCTGATGTATTCCATTTACAGCAACCTTGTAATGGTTAGCCTCACAGCGTATGATAATCTAGAAACAAATAAGACATAGATAGTAACAGATTAATGTTTGCTTAACCTTTTTTGTTGTACAGATGCCAATCATTGCTCTCGATAACAAACTAAGAGGATGTCTAAGTAAGGATAATGTAAAAGTAGCTCCCCGGTCAACATGTCCAACTCCCCTTTGGCTCTTAAACCCCTTAAGGACCAAACTTCTGGAATAAAAGGGAATCATGACATGTCACACATGTCATGTGTCCTTAAGGGGTTAAACAATGTGAATCACCATTATCCTGTTTGGAATAAAAAGTAGGACAATCTTTCAAAAAGACCAGCATAAAAAGGTCGGCTTAACCCCTTAAGGACCAAACTTCTAGAATAAAAGGGAATCATGACATGTCATGTGTCCTTAAGGGGTTAAAGGATAGCTTGTATAACATTAGAGAAAAGCTAAATATGGGAATGGAACGTGACTGCAGCTCTGAACATCCTGACAGCTCCGCTGGGAAACTCTATATAATAGGCTAATTTAACAAATTGTGGTCCGCAGTTGCGGATTTTCAGTAGCCGAAGTTACTCGGCAACCGGGAGGAACACACGGTTGTTAATTTTGCTGTGAATCAGACAGAGTCCGGCGGCTCCTGCTGGGGGTTAATTAACTGCCTACAAGAGGCCTACTCACAGACTGGGGAAAGGAGGAGCCAATCCATTCACCTACTGCATACCAAAACTTAGGTCATTATTACGGTAGTTTTTAATTTTTTCAAGTTACACAACCACCTTTTGAGCTTGGTGCTGGCTCTTTGTATTCATATCTTGTGTTATTACTTGGTTTCTAGTCAGCCACATTGCTATCCTGTATCTGTTATACTTATTCTAGTAGCCTTTGCTTTTTTCAAATGTTTTACAGCATATTAAAAAACAAACAAAAAAAAAACTGAGAAATGTATAAGCAAAAACTAAACACAGGATTTGTGTGTGGATTCTTTTCCTTTTTTATTTTTTGTTACTATTATATCAACCCTCGTAGAGTGGGTATATAGAATAAAACATCTATTGCTCAAAATTACATAAGGGTAGTGTGGTTTAGTATATATAATTTTTTTTAAAGGCTGGCTTGTCATTATAAGAAATGTCTAGCTGCCAGGATATTTTATGGTGACATAAATACTAGTTATGGAGTCTTGGAATTACAACCACAGGAATGTAGTTGATAAAACCTGCTGTGTCAAAGGTGTGATGGTCCTGTAGTATTACTTGTGTAGTACCTTAAAGGAGCACTATAGGGTATGGAACACAAACATGTATTCCTGACCTTATAGGGTTAAAACCACCATCTAGCCCCCCTGGTCCACTCATGCCTCAAAAATATAGTAAAATCTTACTGCTGGCTCTGTTCCTGTTTCCTTTAGACCTGCCCACTGCCTGCTGACATCATCAGAAGTGGTAGCCTGATCCAATCACAATGCTTCCCCATAGGATTGGCTGAGACTGACAGAGAGGTAGATCAGGGACAGAGCCAGCATGATTCAAACACAGCCCTGGCCAATCAGCATCTCCTCATAGAGCTGTATTGAATCAATTAATCTCTATGAGGAAAGTTCAGTGTCTGCATGTAGAGGGAGGAGAAACTGAATGTTTGGATGCATTTTAGGCAGCCATGACCCAGGAAGGATCTCTAACAGACATCTAAGGAGTGGCTAGTGGAGTTATCACTAGGCTGTAATGTAAACACTGCATTTTCTCTGAAAAGACAGCGTTTACAGCAAAAAGCCTGAAGGGAATGATTCTACTCACCAGAACAAATTCAATAAGCTGTAGTTGTTCTGGTGACTATAGTGTCCCTTTAAACAATGAAGTGCAGGAATTCATACAAAAGGGCTACTACATACATAACTGCATTTAGATTAGGAGGTACAGCTTTACCAAAATCCTGTCTTCTTTCTACTTACTTCAAAATACATTTCTTGCTGAAAAGGAAATTCACTGAGACACCTTTCTTCTTCTCCCCAGCTTTCATACAAGTAGGTGTTCCTGACAAACACTTTCTCCTTCATACGTGGATTCAGGTGCAGAGCAATGTCAGTGGAGCCAGTAGGCCTTAGGTCAATAGCAAACCTGTAACGAGTGTGATGTAAAGTATAACATAAAGATGGTAGTTTACAGTTTTTAACAGTCTGGGATGGGAGTCTAACAAAAGTAGGATAATGTCATGTTTGCATCAAATTTACCATCCATGTGTTCCTGCAAAACACCATCAATACATGAAAATAAATCATATTAAGAAAAATGGCAAACAAAATAATTAAAGCTAGAGATTTTGATCATCCGTGGTTTCCATGATGTACTTTCTACAATAGTATTTTGATTTAAAGCAGGCGTGTTAAGAAAATTATGGAACAGCAATATTCATTAGTTTACATTGTATTAGTCACATCTAGAAGGAGTTACAAGAGCTCAAAATAATTGATGATGTTATAGGAGGGCACAGATTTTTAGCTTCAGAATGTGTTTCCTGTTCACTGTTTGGCAGATCACACAAGATTTTTATCTTGTCTTTTGCAGTGGGGTGTGCTTAGTTTGAGTCCTGGGCTTACTGGAGAGGTTATAATGCTAGGATTGTTGCTTAGATCCCACTTAGCTTTCATTTAGTTCAGTTACTTGTCCATCCATTGCTTTAAAGCAGAGTTTAAGGGGGCGGAGGTTGACCCAGGAGCGGAGCAGACGTGTGTTACACATTCTGACCAGTCAAGTGTGCTCCGTGGGTCGGGGATTCCCGGCCAAACAAATAGATTCATTACGCGTGACCTTACTCCACCGGCATCCCGAGCAGTTCTGTAGTGGCCTGTTGTGGTATGGTGTTGGGGAGAGGCGAACGATCTCCCCGCTCTCCATTTCCAGTCGCCGAGAAGCAGCGCTCCTATCCTTCTCCCCTTTAACCGGCGGGGGTTTTCCCAGTCGCCACTGGACTGTTCTGAGCAACTTATGCCACCTCTTGCTCTGAGTTGCCCTCGCAACATACTCCACCTCTGACATTTAAGATGGCAGCTGCTCTTCATGAAACTGGGGCCCTGACCTCATGCGACTAGGTATTGCTGCGTCTGGAGGGGCACTCTCAGACCTTCTGGAGAAAACTTCAGGTACGCAGCAAAGCATGTCTGCTTCAACCGCAGAGAGGCGACAAAAGGCGCGTGGTGCTGGAGAGGAGAAAACCCCCCACCGAGTGAATCTGAAAATGATTTAACTCACATGGGCCTGCCGTCCCGGACCGAGGGCCTCCCAAGACGGTACCTCCATGCACCAACAACACAAGCTGAAGCTCATACGCCACAAGAGGCGCTTACCACATGGTTCTTTCACTTATCCCTGCTGGGGAAAAGACATCCAACCAACAAATTACCATATCTGTGGCTCCTGGATGTCAGTCCTCATTCAGGCAGGGGTGGGTGATCTGCCGTGGCGCTACGCTTCTGATGTTCCAGGGAACTCTCTAGGCAGCGCTCTACATTTCATAGGTCAAGGGATAGGCTGATGCCATTTTGGCTTCTATAATATTTATGCCTTGCAAAGGGTCACTATCTGTTGAATATATTTGCTTATTTTATTTTTGCATGTAGTGCAGCAGCCTAATATAGACCTGACTCCAGTGGTTCTATCCTTTGACAGATTATTCTAGCATGATATACCATACTATTATAGTTATGCTACTTATCATTAGCCTATATCATGCCTCAAGTTCTATACTCATGTCTATATAATACTAAAATGTGCAGTACATATGAATACCACACAGATGTTATGCTACATTTTGCTATGCTCTTGAAATTGCTGTTGTGGCTATTAATACTTGCTTGTATCTTCTTGCACATAAAAAATAAAGAATTAAAATAAAATAGCAGCGTTTACAGCTCCTCCTAGAAACCGTGAATTACACTGAGTTGGTCTGTCGGTGCAGTTGTGAGAGGGGCTTGCAGGCATTGCTCCCCATGTGCAAGCATTTCTAAATGCAAATCTGTCTACATAATGATTCACAGACCCAAGCACGCTTTGCACTTGCAAGTGTTCACTCTCAGGAAGCACAACCTGCAGGGCTGCCATCATAACACCTGGGGCCCCTTAGAAAACCCAGTTGCTGGGCTCCCACCAAACAAAGCACTTGCTCATGGTCACACAAATACACACTCACACAAACCTACACATTCCAGACACACTCACAGATAGACCCATATGCCTACATACAAAGTGTCAGACATACGCACACACAGACACCAATCCACAGTGGCATACACACATAACAATTCCAATATTACAATTTAAGATGTTTTAGTCATCACCCTTGCCTATCTCTTGCCAGGATGGTGGCTTTCCCATGGTCAAGCGGGGATTGTGTCGGAAGCTACAAAAGCTGTTCCCCTGCTTTGGGAGGGGGCATTCAATCTTTTTGCTAGGGGCCTGAGCTTTCACAGAGCTGCAATTTAGTCTGGTCCCCAAGCAAGCCTAATATAGTGTTTCAGGGAGATCATGCCAAACTAATCATATTGATTTTTTTGAGTGGGTAATTAAAATAATAGATCAGGGTGGTGCAGTAGACATTGCTTACCTAGATTTCAGTAAGGCTTTTGACACTGTTGCACATAAAAGGCTTATAAATAAACTGCAATCTTTAAGTTTGGATTCCAATATTATTGAATGGGTAAGGCAGTGGTTGAGTGACAGGCAACAGAGGGTTGTAGTCAATGGAGTATATTCGAAGCTTGGACTTGTCACCAGTGGGGTACCTCAGGGATCTGTACTTGGACCCATTCCCTTTAATATTTTTATTAGTGATATTGCAGAAGGTCTTGATGGTAAGGGATGTCTTTTTGCTGATGATACTAAGATATGTAACAGGGTTTATGTGCCAGGAGGGATAAGCCAAATGGCAAATGATTTAGGTAAACTCGAAAAATGGTCAGAGTTGTGGCAACTGACATTTAAGTGCAAGATAATGCATCTTGGACGTAAAAACCCAAGGGCAGAGTACAGAATATTTGATCGAGTCCTAACCTCAACATCTGAGGAAAGGGATTTAGGGGTGATTATTTCTGATGACTTAAATGTAGGCAGACAATGCAATAGAGCAGCAGGAAATGCTAGCAGAATGCTTGGTTGTATAGGGAGAGGTATTAGCAGTAGAAAGAGGGAAGTGCTCATGCCATTGTACAGAACACTGGTGAGACCTCACTTGGAGCATTGTACACAGTACTGGAGACCGTATCTTCAGAAGGATATTGATACCTTAGAGAGGGTTCAGAGAAGGGCTACTAAACTGGTTCACAGATTACAGGATAAAACTCACTCACACTTATTATATATCATTTTATTCAGGAGAAATAGGGCTTTCATTTAACATCAAATATTTAGATATGAAACATAATTTAATATGAATAAAATATTTTAAAAAGTGAGAAATTAAGAAATGTTTTCATTTTTTTAGTTCTGCATGCCATTTTAATGTCATAATACTGTTTGCCTTTAAAGCAATAAAATACACATTTGTATTCAGCGATGTCTCACGTGTAAAACAGTACCCCCTATGTACAGGTTTTATGGTATTTTGGGAAATAACAGGGTCAAATATAGCATGTTACATTTCTCAGTTTTTCACATTGAAATTCGCCAGATTGGTTACGTTGCCTTTGAGACTGTATGGTAGCCCAGGAATGAGAATTACCCCCATGATGGCATACCATTTGAAATAGTAGATAACCCAAGGTATTGCAAATGGAGTATGTCCAGTCTTTTTTAGTAGCCACTTAGTCACAAACACTGGCAAAAGTTAGCGTTAATATATTTGTTTGTGTGTGAAAAATGCAAAAAACTAATTTGAACGCCAATTTTGTGGCTACTAAAAAAGACTGGACATACCTCAAGGTATTGCAAATGCGGTATGTCCAGTCTTTTTTAGTCGTAGCTTGACTATTTTAGCTTAAATATTGCAATTCTGTTTTCAAGCCACTAAAATTCATATTCATTGCTCAGTGATTAAATACCTCAGTAAGCTGTGTTGTTTATAATAATGACATTGCCCCTTTAAGCATATATTGGTGTTTCACCATTTACAGAAAAATAAAGCATTTTACCTTTTGGCATCCCTTTTAATTTCCCCTTTGATGGCCATTGTCCTTCCAGGCACAAATCCACCAGGAATGTTAGCAGCATACGGCAAGGTCTGCCAAAATTAAAGGGCAGTCAGCATCTGTCATGTGATACATATACATAATTTCAGCCATTTTAAAATGAACCTTACTTACAAGGGACTGTCACACACCTAATTAATTCAACTATGCAGTGTTCTAGGAATCCAACTAGCAAATATAAGGATTTTAATTTTAGATAATATGCTGAGTCAAACTGCACTGGTTATCTTGGGTGAGTGCTCTCAGTATGACTTGCAATCTATCCCGCTCACCTTTTGGGACAGGTAATAAAGAATGTTAGGAGAGGTACTCACAGTAAACCAAATTATAAGCGTCCCTTTGAATCCACAATACATTAGACACAAGAGTCTCTGTATTTTTATATTTTATTTTAAAACAGGTTTTGCATTATGTTGGATATATGTAAAATATACACTATTAGTATACTAGAGTGAAAGCTCTAATTGTTAACTGTAATAGTTTTGAAAACACTCCTAATAATCTAAATTCACGTAAAAGCCCACATGTCCAAATGGGCCGTGCATAATTTACCTTCTAACAAAAAAAGTACAATTTATGCAGCTATTTTAACTCTTGATCCCTTAATTTAGTTCTCTACTTTCTCTTTGTAAGTCAGTTTTTAGCTTACCTAATTTAACATGCAGTTTTCTCATCTGAGACAGAGATTTTATGTAACTTTTAAATGAATGCTTGTGATTTATACTGTTAACCTTTGGTACACTACATGGGTGAACAAACAGACACGTACACACTCTCAGATTGGCAAATATAATTAGGACAACACCTATGAACACTATATAACACAAAGTACTTACAAAGTCCATACTCTCTGTTGACTCAGCCTCAAAAAATAAACAAAATTACAAATTAGAGTGATTACAAATATTTTTTCTTCGTCAAAGATTATTACGAGTAGTCAAAGGGAGTATAATATGGAAATGGCCAAGACAGTTTATGGCAAAATTTATATCATAAATGCAAGCTAATGATATAACCGTTCTTTCCAACATGTTTTGTAATGAACTTAGAACACAATGGGGAGTCAAAGATAGATGGTAATGTCACTATACAGACTATGTTTACAGGGTGGTCTTCTGGTCTCCAAATAATACACCCCTTAACACAGCATAACATTAATTGAGATATTGAATCATTATTATCCACCCAAACATTCTTCACACAACATATATTTTTATTTAAAAATTTTACCTTATTACTATTTAAAGGAGATGCATCAAGAGAGATGAGCTGGGAACCTTGCAAGGGCTGAAATACAAATAAAATTATATTAACTGATATTATACATTATATGTGGATAATATTAGGTGGACATTTAATATTTCCAGCAACACAAACAGCACAGTTCAAGAATATGTATTTAGTAGCTCTTTTTAATGGCACAAGATGGGCTAAAACCAGCTTAAAATCTCAGCGGGGACCCACCGAAGGGCAAGCTGTTGTCCATTATCAGTATTCTCGTGCACCCTGTTTTTTTTTTTGTTTTTTTTTTGCTCTCCCTAAGTTTAAAGGGTAATCCAGATGTTGACCCCTTTCTCACTATGCTTACCTCACTGACGAGGCTTAATAAGGCTGAAACTATCCTCTAGGGTTGCTGTATCTCTTGTGCAGAAAGAGTCGCTCTGCATATTGGATCTGGACTGCCATTTTGGTTGGCATCAGTCGGATATGCAAATTGACTAGGTTCTCTTTTTAATGGCACAAGATGGGCTAAATTTCATAAATCAAAAAATGGTAAAGGTTGTACAATTAAATTATAAAAAGGTGCTATCCCCAAAAGGCATCCTTAAAAATGCCAAGAAATCAATACTCTGAATACAAAAGGATGGACACCAAATAAATGATCAATAACTTTATTGTACACTCACATAGAGCCTCAAGGGACCATGTCTTTCTCAAGTGACAGTCAAGTCTTGACTGCCACTTGAGAAAGGCACACGTGTTTGTGCAGAAACATTGGGGGGTATTTGTGGTGCACGTGTCCGGTCCTTTGAGGCCCTATGTGAGTGTTATATGCATCTTTTGCTTTGTAACTATAGCCTCTATCATTTGTGTGTTGTAGTAATTATATATTGGTTGTTATATTTGACTGTACAATAACAAGAGGAGTTAAAACCAGCTTGAGATCTAAGCAGGTAGCCATCGAAGAGCAAGCTACTTGAGCTGTTGTCCGCTCTCTTGCATCCTGTTTTTTTTCTGCTCTGGGGATTGACTAGTGCAGTTTATTTTTTGGTGCATAAACATCTTTGGTTGTAGCTACATAATTTCACAATATATTGAGGTACACATATTCATCAAGTCATTTGATCACACAACTGTACAGTCCTTATGACCTCACAACAAAAAGGTAATCAGATGTGAACAGGAGCAGTGGAGCAAAGTGTAGGTTAAAAGTAATACATAATAGTGTCTTTCAGCCCATATGCATGTGCTTAAGCAGCACTAAGCATATTAACAGCCAGGAAGGCATATACCATATAAGGGCAGGCACCTCAACAGTGATGTTGAACAGGTACATCCAGGTACATCCACCTGCATCTCCTGTCCACCACCTTTCTCCTAATTGCACAGTTGCCAAACTTGCCAGGTCATGGTATATGCCTATATGGGGTGTATACATTATGTTTGAATTTAACAAAAAGGGATTACATGGTTCTACATGCAGACATAATTGAAAAAGGGAGATTTGGAAATGTTTGGAGTCATTTGGAAATGTATAGCAAAACTTACTGTTTGAGAGGCAAAGCCAATCATTTCAATCATCACTTTGCCATGTATTCCAATAGTATCAATTCTTCTAAAATCCAGTCTATGCTTATAGAAAAGCAAGTGTTTGCCATTTGAAGAGACCTAAACAGAACATAGAGGTAACATTATCGTTCAATACAGATATTACATACAGAATATTTAATACAAATTTAAAAACTTGAAGTAAATGTTTTTGGTTTGCATTTGGGTTGTTTTATTTTATTTTATTGTTTTATTTATTTTAACAGTTGATCTCATTACTCACCAACAATAAGTAAAGTAGATATCGTGGACAGTAACGAACAATACATGGCAACTGGGGGTCTAGCATCTCTCATATTAATATTTCTGATTTATTTTTTTGTGTCAAGACTTAGATTGACCAAATAAGAGTTTAAAGGAACACTATAGTCACCAAAACAACTTTAGCTTAATGAAGCAGTTTTAGTACATGGATCATGCCTCTTAATTTTCACTGCTCAATTCACTGCCATTTAGGAGTTAAATCACTTCCTTTCTGATTATGCAGCCCTAGCCACACCTCCCATGGCTCTGACTGACACAGCCTGCATGTAAAAAAATTAAATAAATATAGTTTCACTTTCAATCAGATGTAACTTACCTTTAAAGATGTTATCTCCTGTTCTGTAAATTGAACTTTACATACAGGAGGCTCCTGCAAGGTCTAGCAAGCTATTAACAGTGCAGGAAATAAGAAAATCTAAATTTGACAGAATTAACAATAAAGGATAAATATTAGATTACTCTTTACAGGAAGTGTTTAGGAAGTGTTGCAGGGTGTGACTAGGGTGCCTAAACAAAGTGATTTAACTCCTAAATGGCAGAGAATTGAGCAGCAAGACTGCAGAGGCAAGATCTATACACCAAAACTGCTTCATTAAGCTAAAGTTGTTTTGGTGACTATAGTGTCCCTTTAAGTTAAAACAGGAACAAACAGTTACATGTTTTGGATTTTACAAATACAGCTGACTGTGGACAGACTGTGCACTTGATTAAAAAGTTTACTGCCTCCTCTGCTTTCCAAGGACGTGTTTCAAGTAAAAGAAACAAAAGTTAGAAAAAACTAACTGATGGAGCTAACTTCTTGTTTGACAGTTACTTCTATCTTGTGTTAGAAGGATTTTGAAGGCATCTTTGTATTATGTTTTGCATGTTTATATATTTTATGTACGGCTTTAAAAAAGGGCACTCTATTCCAGTTTAAAGAATCCCTTTTACAGATATGGCCTTTACACAAGAGGGGATTGTATTTAATCCACTAAGGTATCGAGTAGAAATTAGTGCAAAACTGACCATATACTGCTTCATAGAATAAAAAGATACAGTTTATACTTTTTCAAAACTGGTAAACTGGTTTTAATAATGCAAAATTACAAGGGCAAATGGAAATCGTGCCCTGGTGAGGTGCACTGGATGAAGAGGATTAACTTTACAGCCACATAACACACTGAGACGCAAGTTGAACTAAAGCTGACAATGACATTCTGTTTCCTGTGGACACCAAGTAACAAGTGCAGCCGCAGGGAGCTCTGTCTAATCAGTTATAAGCTTGGTTTGAAATTATAAATCCTACTCAACATTTCAGAAAGTCCCCAGTTTTCAATTGTCTTTTTTTTTTTTATTGCCACAAGTGGGTCTAAGTGAGAGACACACATACGTTAGAAAAGACCTGAAAACCTGCAATGTCAGAGTAAATGAGGACAAAAATGGGATCTATGGCTTACCTGGAATTTACTAGGGAGAACCAAAATGAGAACTTCGAAGGGCTTTCCCTTAGTAAGTGGCATTTGATTTGTTCTTTCTTCCCAACCCCATCTTTCGTTCTCCAAGGTGTTGCAAACAATGTGCCCAGAACCTTTGAATCGAGGGTTGAAATGAAAGGCAATATCTGCCCGGGGCTGGACACTGCAGCCACACTGAAAGTCTATCTGAAACCTGAAAAAAAACAAAACACTGTGTTATATTACTCAAAAGCACTGTGTGGAACATCAATTTAAACAGCTTTGATATACATATACTGTAAATGAAATAAGCCTTAAAAGGTTACTCCAATGCTTTTTAAGGGGGGATGTTATTCTGTGTAAACTTCCCTATTGAACATTATGAATTAGGTCCCCCACATTCATTTGCCCTCCAAACTGAAAAAAAAGCAAAAACAATTCTGGTTAACCTGGGATCCAACGCAGGACAATGATCCCAGCGCTGACTTCTACTCCCCCTCCTGAAATCAGCCAGGAGCATGGTGCAGACCACTCTATTAGAAGCCTGTAATTGCACCTTTTCATTGAGAAGGGGGCAGAGAGGGAGACAGGAAAGTGGATGGGAATTTAAATGGAAAATATTTTTTAAAAAAACAAAAAAAAAACATGCTTTTTTCGGTGGGAGGAAAGCTCTTCCCCTTATAGGCACTGCCTGCAAGGGGAAGCTCAATACAGTTGTTGCCAACATGTACCCATGCTTTGCAGCAACACAAGGAAACCAGAAAAAGTACCATCTGGCTGTCTCAGTAACAGCTGGGAAAGTGAATCCTTTGCATTTTATTTTTGATGCTAAAAGGATGAGAGCTTTTAAAAAGTAGTGGTTTTATAAACCCACAAGAAGGAGGTACTCTGCTAACTCCTAAAGAGCTCAAGTGGTTTGGAGTAATACTTTAACCAATGCACTGTCCAAATGAACATTTCTACCACATTAACTAGAAATAGCGGTTTCAGGTGGCAAAGGGTGGCATTTATGTAAAACTTCTAAAGGGCAGCCATATCTTACACAGAATTAGGCCTTTGTGGCTTTTACATTTATTTCTTTTCTTTTTTTATCAGTATACATATCTTCTTACTGCATGAGTAACGACCAAAAAAATATTTTCTTGTAAAATTAAATATATGAAATCCAAGAATTAGAAGAAAGTCCTTTCTGTGAGCACATTTAGGACAATGAATCGTGGGATATGTCTATTACAGGGGTTCTCAACCTTGCCCTCAAGGACCCCCTACCAGTCCAGGGTTTAGGGATTACCTGGGTGTGTCTAAGGTGTTTAGAAAAAGAAAAAAAAAAAAACACCTTAGAGTCTAAGGTTTTTTTTTTCTTCCCTTTTTCTAAACACCTTAGACACACCCAGGTAATCCCCAAATCCTGGACTGGTAGGGGGTCCTGAGGACTGGGTTGAGAACCCCTGGTCTATTAATACAAACCTCTTTCACCAAGATGTTTTTTTCTATTGTAATAGCTCTGACCAGTGTTCAGATATATTTTCATGTTTTTTTTTTTTTAATTTAAAAAAAAATAAAAAAAAAATGCACCCTTACGGACAAATACATATTTTAGGCCAATTGTAAATAATTAGTTAAAACAATTTCACCATTTATAATTACCTGTCTGCATCAGGAGCCACAGTCCCGTGAATTACCACCATCTGCCCCAATTCCAAGCCTCCAAAAATGGTCCCCAAATAAGGGACAACCTATAATAATCAAATAGCGTTAGAAAACATTTTAAAAAGACTAATTCCTACAAATAAATCTTTCTGCACAGAGAGCACAAAAAAAAACCCAATAACAATAAGAGAACAAATATTGTATTACCTTCCACACTAAAGATGTAAAACATTAGTACAGTACTTTTTCATACAGATACCATCCTAAATGAACACTTAAAACACAAAGTTAAGAATAGTTTGGCGCTGCTCCCTGTCTCTACTACTTTGTCCTGAATCCAAAAAGATAACTGTCGGGGCGGAGTCAAGCTACTAACCTGAGCGGATGCACAATAGATGAGCACCAGGCACATACACCAAATCCCGGCGATTCTAACCGGTTTTCGAGCCTCACAACCGCAGTCTCGTCGCCTTTAACAAACATTGGCAGGAAAACTAAACGTTAAAACCTGAAAGACCCAAGCCGGGCCTGAATATAGGAGATCTTCTCCGCCAACCGCATGACGCATATGGGCCCAAGATGGCTGACAACTTGGACGATTTCTAGGACAACTCGGACAAACTGTCCCCAAAGGAAGAGATAAGCAGACACATGCCGACGTTACAGCCTCAAACTAAGCCCAAGACTGGAGACTCCAGACCTGTGATAGAAGTACTGCTCCAGACCATGCTTGGAGCTCTCCAACGTCAATACAGGCGGATGTAGCCCTACTCTGCACTGACATCAAGGGCTTGGTAGGCCGCATAAGCGCGGTAGAAGGCTAGACATCCAAACACTTACCAAAAGACAAGCTGCCTCCGACCAAAGATTTTCCCACCTGGAAGACGCTCGATGTCTGGGTCCCGAAACCTAGGAAGGCGCCTGAATTAATACCTAGAGACCTAATTGTGCAATTCCGCAGAGGAGCAGACAAGGCAATGGTACAAACGGCTCTAAAAGGGACTACCTCATACAACTTTGAGAACATGGCTCTCTCTTTCTTCGCGGATCTCTCCGGTGAGACACTGCAATGGTGCAAAACGCTACAACCCCTCGCAGCTCTGCTTCGAAGCCAAAACAACGAATATCGCTGGCTATCTCCACGAGCCTTACAAGTGCGGCTCAGTGATGCGGTGCACTCAATCTCAGATATCTCCGACGCACCCGTGCTCCTGGCCAAACTGAGCCTTCCAGGGGACTCACTACAACAGCCCAACAGCCAAGCAACGACATCGGCGGCTCACTGCTGGGACCCGAGCGCAATCATGCCCTTCATCCCGAAGAATGCGACACCAGAAGCATACGCTGCAACAACATGAGAAGCAAAGATGGCGACCTGAGCCTCACTCCAAAATTACATGGGACTTACACTAAGTGCAGTTCAAAGTTGGTTAGATTTGTTAGTTCAGAACATTTTTTTTTTTTCTCTCGTTAAATTCATGTTGGTCCACCTGCCCAAACCACAGGTCAGATACGCTCATTTACACCCTGGCCATAAGCCAGGCTCTTCCATCCCACCCCATCCCTCCCCTCCCCCGCCCCCCCCCCGATACCATAGACCCCTGAGGCCATTCACAACTGAGTGCTGGAGGTGTAACTATAGTACGGGCCACGACCTGTAGTCCCAAGCTAACCACCTAAGGTTTCCCACAGTTTGCCCACCAGACAGCAGGATCAAATGCCCCCAATTTATGGCTCAAACCTATTCTATTGTTTGCTTCTTCTATGGTACTCTCAAACTGTTGGTCGAACTTAGACTGTCTAAGTACCTGAGTATGTTTTCTATAACTTAAAAAATGTGCATCTACACTATTTGCCATAGCACTGCTACAACTTGTATGACATATACTGTTTGACATGGCTGTTGGGGCTTTGCAAGTCTGTTTGTAATATGCTGCACACAAAAATAAAGAATTTTAAAAGAAAAGAAACTGTCCAATGTTTCAACCTAACACTATAGTGTCCCTCTGCCCCCACCTCCACCATGTAAAGGGTTAAAAAAAAAACCTTTAAACAGTTGCCTGCTACCAGCACTGATGTCCCTGGGCGCTGGAAAGGCCCCAGAGTCAGCGCGATCTGGGAACCTAATGCACATGTGCAGCGAGCACCATGTGCACATTAGGCCTTCCCCATTGGAAAACAAGCTTTCCTATGCTGGACGTCCAGCATTAGTTTACGGGGTCAAAGTGCAGGAAGCGCCTCCAGTCGCTGTCAAGTATATAATCCACTAGAAGCAGTCTTAACCCTGGAATGTAAACATTGCAGTTTCTCTAAAACTGCAATGATTAACTTTGCAGAGTTAAGGGAACAGGGACACTGCACCACCCAGTCCACTTCAATAAGATTAAGTGGTCTGGATGACAATAGTGTCCCTTTAATAAAAATATGATTTATTTTTTTTGTGTCTGCATCGGACATGGTTATAAATATAAAAATATTACTTACTGGATTCAGAATTGTTCTCTGACGTGAAAACTCAGACATTTTACCAATTCATAAAGTTCTTGAACTAAAAGGGAAAAACATATTTGAAGTACATATTTGTGCATAACATTCTCTCCTTCCTTTACCAAAAAAAATAAAATACATTTTTTTGAATGATTTGCTTTGCCTAGTTTTTTAAGGCTATAGGCGTTGTGCTACCGCTGACCCACTTAGAAAAATGCTAATACATTGCCCTGCCTTAAAGGGACACTCCAGGCACCCAGACCACTTCTGCTCATTGGAGTGGTCTAGGTGCCAACTCCCACTACCCTTAACCCTGCAAGTATAATTATTGCAGTTTTCATCAACTGCAATAATTACATTGCAGGGTTAACTCCTCCTCTAGTGGCTGTCTACTAGACAGCCACTAGAGAGCACTTCCGGGATTCTAGCACAGGTCGCTGGATATCCTCACGCTGGGTGAGGCCTCCAGCATCGCTAAAATCCCCATAGGAAAGCATTTTCAATTTTCAATACTTTCCTATGGAGAGGTCTAACGCGCATGCGCAGTAGGTCTCCCCCCCGCCGGATAATGTGGTGACAGGGAGGAGCGTGGGCGGACCCAGAAGCAGCGCTGAGAGACATCAGCGCTGCCTCAGGTAAGTCACTGAAGGGGTTTTGACCCCTTCAGCAACCGGGGAGGGAGAGGGGACCTGCAGTGCCAGGAAAACGATGTGTCTTCCTGGCACTGGAGAGTCCCTTTAACTGCCAGGTTACAAGGCATGTAATATTGTTACATGGCATTTACATGTACGTTACGTATAGTTACAATCATTTCACCCAGTTCAATGAAAGGGCCAATATTGGATTTTTTTTTGAGGGGTGGGTACTACAGAAATCTCTGCATACAACAGCATATTGCAGAACAGCAGCGAACTCTGTACTGTTCGAAATAAATGCATGAACATACAAAACATTACATATAGAAAACTTCAAACTGTCATGAACAAAATAGCTTTGGGAGAACTCTGATGTTTATTGTATATATTAATGTAATAAGTACACTTCAGGAATGTATTAAAAAATGGTACCCAACATGCTGCATTTTTCTAAACCACGTAAATCAGAGTGTTTGTATGGTCAAGAATGAAGGGGAGACATTAAAGGACCACTATAGTGCCAGGAGAACACACTCGTTTTCCTGGCACTTTAGTGCCCTGAGGGTGCCCCCACCCTCAGGGTCCCCCTCCCGCCCGGCTCTGGAAAGGGGAAAAGGGGTAAAACTTACCTTTTTCCAGCGCTGGACGGAGAGCTCTCTGCCTCCTCTCCTCCTCCGATCCGCCCTGTCGGCTGAATGCGCGCGCATTCAGCCGGTCACATAGGAAAGCATTCTCAATGCTTTCCTATGGACGCTGGCGTGCTCTCACTGTGAAAATCACAGTGAGAAGCACGCAAGCGCCTCTAGTGGCTGTCAATGAGACAGCCACTAGAGGAAATAGGGGAAGGCCTAACCCATTCATAAACATAGCAGTTTCTCTGAAACTGCTATGTTTATGAAAAAATGGGTTAACCCTAGAAGGACCTGGCACCCAGACCACTTCATTAAGCTGAAGTGGTCTGGGTGCCTAGTGTGGTCCTTTAAGATAGATTTTTCCATCTCACCCACCTACACAAAGCATATACAGTATGCATCCTTCCCACACAAACACACACACACACACACACACACAGACTGCCCCCTCACACACAATACACCCCTCACACACTCACACTGACTGCCCTCCACAAACACACACCACTCCTCACACACACACAGTACCTCTCAAACATACTCATCACCCTCACACACACTGCCCCTTCACACTGCGCTCTTCACACACATACAGCACCACTCACACACACATTGCACCCCTCACACAAAAACAAACACACATACAGCACCACACACACTCAACCCCTCACACACTGCACCTTTCACACACACACACACACCACCTCACAGACAGATGTAGAAAAAAAATTGAATAGAAAATGGGGGAAAAAATAGATACATTTACATATAAAAAATGTTTTTATATATATTTCTAAAAATAAAAATGCGCTATAAAATTAGTTACTACGGCACCGGTGGGCGGTAAGGACATTTTTACCATCAACAAAGATACAAAAGTGGGCGGTAGGTATTAAAAGGTTGCTTAGCCCTGGGTTAGATAGATTGACAGATAGATATAATGAAAGATAGATAGATTGACAGAGAGATTAGACAGATCGACAGACAGATTAGATTAGATAGATTGACAGCGAGATTAGACAGATCGACAGAGAGATTGATTAGATAGATTGACAGAGCGATTAGACAGATCAACAGATATTAATTAGATTAGATAGATTGACAGATTAGATAGGTTAGATAGATATATAGATATAATTACAGATATATTGACAGAGAGATTAATTAGATAGGTTAGATATGTTAATTAGATAGGTTAGATAGATTAATTAGATAGGGTAGATAGATTAATTAGATATGTTAATTTGATTGAGGTCCTCCCAGCAATTAGATAGGTTAGATGTGTTAATTAGATAGATTAATTAAAAAGGTTAGATAGGTTAGATAGATTAGATATGTTAATTATATAGGTTAGATAGATTAATTAGATAGATTAGATATGTTAATTAGATTGAGGTCCTCACAGCAATTAGATAGATTAGACAGGTTAGATATGTTGCTTAGATAGATTAATTAGATAGATTAGCTATGTTAATTATATAGGTTAGATAGTTTAGATAGGTAATTAGGTTAGATGAATTAGATAGGTTAGTTAGATAGATTAGATATGTTAATTAGATAGGTTAGAAATGTTAATTAGATAGGTTAGATAGATTAATTAGATAGGTTAAATAGATAGGTTAGGTTAGATATGTTAATTAGATAGGTTAGAAATGTTAATTAGATAGGTTAGATAGATTAATTAGATAGGTTAAATAGATTAATTAGATAGGTTAAATAGATAGGTTAATTAGATATGTTAATTAGATATGTTAATTAGACTGATTAGATAGTGGTCATTCTCCTATATGACAGGCAGCATTGTGGTTTAACAGTCAGTAAGTTGTAACAGGCAGGGCTCACACACAGACAGTGACCGAGCTGTGATAAACCCGGAGCCGCACTCTATCGGGTGTCTCTGGGTCACCTCGCTCAGTTACTGAATGCGATCGCATTACACACACTGTGTCCCTGTGGGTCTCAGCAGCCACTCACCTGCCCGTTACCGTCCAGCCACCAGCAGCCAACTTCCGGGTTTCACACCAAGCCACGCCCCCTCGTGGCGCATCTCGGGACATCAACAGAGAAACGAAACTCTGGGCCGTGACGTCACGTTACTGGAGGATAGGGCGACCCCATAGAGCCATTAGCAATAACTGACTGCCCCCATAGAGCCATTAGCAATAACTGACTGCCCCATACAGCCATTAGCAATAACTGACTGCCCCCATACAGCCATTAGCAATAACTGACTGCCCCATACAGCCATTAGCAATAACTGACTGCCCCATACAGCCATTAGCAATAACTGACTGCCCCATAGAGCCATTAGCAATAACTGACTAACTGCCCCATACAGCCATTAGCAATAACTGACTGCCCCGTACAGCCATTAGCAATAACTGACTGCCCCATACAGCCATTAGCAATAACTGACTGCCCCCATAGAGCCATTAGCAATGACTGACTGCCCCATACAGCCATTAGCAATAACTGACTGCCCCGTACAGCCATTAGCAATGACTGACTGCCCCGTACAGCCATTAGCAATAACTGACTGCCCCGTACAGCCATTAGCAATAACTGACTGCCCCGTACAGCCATTAGCAATGACTGACTGCCCCGTGCACAGCCATTAGCAATAACTGACTGCCCGTGCAATACGTAGCAATGACTGACACCCGTACAAGCGTACTTAATAACCTTAACTGCTGTATACAGCCATTAGCTTATTAACTGACTGCCCGTGCAGCCATTAGCAATAATGAAAACTGGCACGCCCCGATACAGCCATTAGCAATAACTTGGCTACTTCATACAGCCATTAGCAATAGCGGCTGCCCCGTGCAGCCATTAGCAATAACTGACTACTTTATTTTAGCCATTAGCAATAACGGCTTTACCCATTACAGCCATTAGCAATGACTGACTGCCCCATACAGCCATTAGCACTGACTGCCCCATACAGCCATTAGCACTGACTGACTGCCCCATACAGCCATTAGCAATGACTGACTGTCCCATACAGCCATTAGCAATGACTGACTGCCCCATACAGCCATTAGCAATGACTGACTGCCCCATACAGCCATTAGCAATAACTGACTGCCCCATACAGCCATTAGCAATGACTGACTGCCCCATACAGCCATTAGCAATAACTGACTGACTGCCCCATACAGCCATTAGCAATAACTGACTAACTGCCCCATACAGCCATCAGCAATAACTGACTGACTGCCCTGTACAGCCATTAGCAGTGACTGACTGCCCCATACAGCCATTAGCAATAACTGACTGCCCCA